GTGTCAGGTAAGTCCAATTTTATCCTCACTCCTGGAATCAGTTAAGTGAACTCGCGGCCAGCTCAAGCTCCAAGGAGGAAGCAGTGGCTTTGATGCAGGTGCGTATGTCTCAGCAAACGATAAACGATGCTTGTAAACAATAGTGCCGTATGTCGTGCGGGGCCTTTCAGGAGCTAGGCTCGCCAGGTGGTGACAAGGGGTCCTGGCATAGTGCCTGAGGTGCTTGCGCAATGTATCGGTAATAATATGCGTTTTTATCGAGTGATCTTGAGCGATCGCAATGGTTTCAGCCTTTGAAGCACTGCGGGGGAATCCAAGGCATATCTTAAGTGCTTGGGCTTGAATGCTCCGAATTGCACGCAGGTTGGTCTTGCCGATGTTAGATATTGCAAGTAAGCTGTGTTGTAAAAACCCGATAAACAGCAGTCTGTACAGTTGTAGCATGGATGGTATGGGCCCTCTCAATTCTTTCCTCCAAAAAGTTTGAACATGTGACATGTTGCGATCGGCCGCTTCTTCACATAGTTCACGTGTGGAGTCTACAACGGGTTACTGTCTTCATCAGGGCACAAATAAAACAGCATAGCATAGCGACTCACTCAGAAAAAAATTGGCAGACCCCACGTACAGTGGGAATCGATGATATGCGAAGCACGAATAACAAAGCTTGATATGTCTCTTTAAAATCAGCACAACGTTACGAAGTGGAGGTAAATGATGCTGTACATGACTTCATTGTCATGATTATCATGTTTGGATGTGCCGTTTACCTTCGTCATCTATTCACGTCACGTGATACCAAATTTAGTAAATGTAGAGCAAGTGAAACGGCCACAAGCACACTATTAGCGTGGTGTGTGGTCATGTTCTTACATAAAATGCGTGTGAGGATTATCATGTTTGCACCAGTCATATATTTTGTCACCCATTGACATCACGTAACACCAAATTTGGTATATGTGGAGCTAGCAAAATGGCCACGAGCACATCATAAAGGGCCCACTATACTTCAATGAAGTGTTGACGCGCGCACACGCTGGGCACAGCGACACTACGTTAACAAAACGCGAGCACTCTATAGCCTGACGCCAAGCACGACCAACGCGACCAGCGTCCGTCGTCGTGGCCCAATGGCAACCGGCGCGACATTCGCGCCAATACGTTACGCAGACAACCCTGTTTTCGAAACGGAGTAACATCCGACGCGCGGAAACGCGCATGCATCAAAGCAATGCAGTGCAGCGTGCGTGTGCATGCAGCAAAGGCGGCACATCACCATGCGGCTTAAGCTACGGCTGGCAACTGATTGGCGTGTGTGCCTTCGACCATATGGCAGGACCGGTGCCTGGTGTGGCAATGCCGTCGTGACGCTACAAAATGAACGCCGGCGAGCACGCGCATCGCGTCAAATTGAAATGTTTTGCCGCCTTGACTGTGGCGTGTAGTCATGTTCTCACATGGCACGCATCTCATGATTATCGTGTTTGCACCAGTCGCATGCCTTCGTCATCCATTGACGTCACGTAATGCCAAATTTGGCATATTTGAAGCAAGCGAAATGGCCGCGAGCGCATCGCTAGTGTGGCATGTAGTCATGTTGTTACATGACTTGCATGTCGTCATTAAATGTTTCCAATGTGTCATATACCTATGTTCTTCGTTCACATCGAGTAATACGGAGTTTAGTACATGTGAAACTAGCGAAGCGGCCGCGGGTGCATCATGATGGCAGCATGTAGTCATGTTGTTACATTACACGCATCTCAAGATTGTCATGTTTGCACCACTATCATACCTTCGTCATCCATTCACGTCCCGTAATACTAAACTTGGAATAAGAGAAGCTAGGGAAACGGATGCCATTGCATCATGAGCGTGGCATGTAGTCATGTTTTTGCAAGACACACATCTCATGAATATCTTGTTTGCACCAGTCACATATCTTTGTCGACCATTCACCTACCGTAATACCAAATTTGGTATATGTGACGCTAGCGAAAAGGCCGCGAGCGCATCATAAGCGTGGCATTTAAAAGCTCTACTCATATTTGTATGTGCTCACTATTGAATTTTATTCTGAGTACAACTTCATTCAGATGTTTAAAGAAAGTGCCTACAGTTACCTCGCGAGAAGAACGTGGTTCAAGGGGCAAAGGTTTTTTCTCTCGATGTTTTGAGTCCACTGCTTCTTGCGCATGGAACTTTTTTGCACCAGGGAGTATAATATAGTTTAACATCACAGCATATCCAGGGAGTGAATGATGATGAGTAGGGCGAATAGCTGGAGGGTTTCATCGCCAAATTGTGAACCATCCGCGAATATCGCCCACAACATCATCAAAGACGTGACATACACTGTGTGCATTTACACAAGAAATTTTATTTTCGGTAAGTGGTAGCTATCCCTCGCTTTCGTTTCTCCTTCAATACAACGGCTTTATTGTCCGTGAAATGGATCGGTGATAGGGCGTAGCGGTACGCTTGCTAGGACAAAGTAGTGGGCAGTTTGCAAAGATGAAACTATAGGTGGTCACGTAGAAACAAGGAGTCGACACAGCGGAAAAATCTATGGTTCTTTAACGCGCACCTGAATACAAGTACGCATTTATCTTGCATTTTATATTAACTACTTCTTAACAGTATTGACTTTATGGTCACGGAAGTGGTTGATCGGTGATGGGGTGTAGTGAGATGTTTGCAGGATGGCTACATACACCAACGCAGGACAGACCCACACCCTAAGAAGCTTCACCCCTAAAAGCTCTGTCCTGCTGCTGCACCGAAACACGCAGCAGCCAGGCATTGCCACGAAAAGCGAAACCTAAAATTCAACTCGGAAGCATGTTCGGGGTGGATAGTCTGGAGGGTTCATGGCGGCCGTGGTGAAAGACTAGCACGCGAAGTATGTTTGTGCGCACTTCAGGTGACGTCAGGGTCACCTGATTAGCTAGTAGCGCTCTTCTTGCACCCATTAATTATTGCGGATAGTGGGATCGAAAAAGAGAAGTTTGACAGCGCGGCGATAGTGAGACAGCATAGATCAAGGAGTGTCGTTACTTTCCAAAATTTTGGAGTTATGCCTCAGCCGATTGCTCTTGTACTTTGTCCTATGGTGCGTGGTTCCGTTGTGCTCAAACACTCGTTCATCTCGCCATGGTCGAGAATAGTACATCTTGGGCTTTCATCTGAACGATTGCGTAGTATAGTTACAGGCTGCACGAAAGTCACTTTCCTTTCTGCAGTCGCTCCGTTTGTGAAAACTGCGCACTTTCTAAACACACCAAAGTTACAACTGTTAAATCAGATGGCGTTCACCTTTGAGTATACGTGTACATATACCCTTCGTGCGTCCTTTGTGTTTAAGTAGGGCGTTAGGTGTCGTACTGTAAACGTTGTTATATCGCGGTCGTTCTGTGTGTATTTTATACTGTTCTTTCGTCTTGAGCAGAGCACTGCACGTTTTGATCTCGTAGGTGTTCTTCGCATGACAGTCCAGTTCGTTGCAATCAAATTCACTACTTCGACCTTGCAAGCAAACTACGGCAATTTACTTACACAGGTTCGTCTATAAGGGATACGTTAAAATGATATTAGTTACTGTTGCATAAACCACTCAAATATTTTGTGTGCACACTTCGTTTTTGATAGTTGTGTAGAGTACTCCTCATGAAACAGCAGATACAATGACCGTTAGAAGAACTGAACCTTTTGCTTATGAAAGTGTAGTCGGTTAGCTTCCGTTTCAGATCTTTTACTGCATACGATCACTTCACTTAAACCACCATCATCATTGATAAGAAGCTCGACCACGAGACACATCAAGAGTACTTTTTTCATATTTACATAGGCAGAACAAAACTCTCTAACAATTTAGGCTGATATTTGATATACATAAGAAAGGTCATGAATTACCTGAGGTGAATTTTATTTTCAATTTTAATTAATTTACGAGAAATGACTCTAAATATATCTGTCAGTGTCTTCGCACGTTCCTTTACATAGGTACATATGTTTTCTAATGAGCCACGCAAGAAAAGGTTCAACATAAGAACAAGTAATAATGAAGAGTCGTTGATATGGCATGTCACTAGAGCCCACATTCAGACAGTTTCGCTGTCTTAGCCATGCCTGTAACTGATGTGGTTGGCATCTTCTTTGTGAGCGCGTTTCTGATACTGTCCCAACTTTAAAAGTTAAGGAGAAGAAAGGGAACGTGTACATATTAGGGAAATAAGTAAGAAGTAATGACGGTGTTACTGAAATATTTACGGTAAGGAACTAAGACAGCCAGATGCTGCTCTGTCAAAATGGATGTCAACTTTTGAAGGCATTGTCTGCAGCGGCATTCTGTGTTCAACAGCTTTTCATTAGCCTCATCGTTGTCCTGTGCTTCTGTCTTGTATTTTAGCACAGATAAATTTACACCACATAAGCATAAAATGACATGGAGGGCAAGGGTGATAGTTTGCGACAAAAATAGTCCAATGAGCAGAGATTTTACGCTCTGGGCGAGGTTTCAAAAAGTGAAATTATCTTTTTTCAAACCTAGAACGCATCAGTTCTTGCCCAGGAGAAGTGATGTCCCCCCATCTCGTAACGCTGACACAAGCAAAAAACTCCTAGTTACATATTTTTTGTTTCAAAGTAACGGTTAGTAAAGGTGATTCTTCAAGTAATGCGATAGCACTTGCAGTTGCTATATTTTCAGGAGTGCTAACTGCTCAGGAATGCACACAGTTAGTAGACAGCAAAATGTTGGCATTGCCACTGAAACTAGCCTACTCGGACCATGCTAGCTTTGGGTACGTCTGCAAAGGCTGTAATTTGTGCATTCTTGCTTCTTCGTAGAACTGCTGGCTGAAAGGCCCCCGAAGAAGAGAAAAGATGAGGGTGGAGAGTTTTCACTGCAGGATTCCAGCATTGCGCCATATCAGGGAAAATTCTGTATACTAACATGGTATGTGAGAACCATGCTACAGCCATAGCATTCCTTTGCCCAGATCGTCGACGTGACCACCCGTAACAAACTCGGCCCACACGAGATCGGGGAAATTTGCTTTCGAACTCCATCTATGGTAAGAGGATACTACAAAAGGCCACGTGAATCGGCCGAGCTGTTCGACGAAGAAGGATGGTGCAAATCGGGTAAGCCTGAATGTAGAATTCCAGCATTTTTATTAAGTAATACTACTAGTTGCATGAAGCCGGGTCCAACATCATCATGCGGGTGAATTTCTGTCTTTTGGACGTCGTTAGGCAGTCCATTTAATGACGCTACTATTACAGCACACAACGCGCGGAAGCTTTGCATGCAAAGATTTCGACGCCCTTAATTGAACCCTTCCGAAGACAATCACTCAGAAAACCTCACCATTATAGCTGACACGTGAGTTGTTCATGTGTTAAGTTAAGCTTGAGTGTGCGTGTTCAACTCCAGGCCATGATGCGATTCTGAGCTAAGGTAACCAAAGCCCTGTATTTGGCAGGATTGCCCAAATTTCTCATACAGTGTCTCACGTCCTGCACCACCTCTGTCAGAACAGCTATATGCCTTGGATTTGTTCTGGACTGTCCAGTTACAACGCGCGTCACGCTACGGAACGTGAAGTTTGCACTAATTGCACGCACTGAGCAATAGGATGGTGACTAGGGGCGACTTCGAGGGCCTTTAACCACTTCAGATGAACTTCCCATTGATATACCTCAACCTTCACGAGTACATCATGCAGCAAAGGTTTTTTTTTGTTTTTGCAAGTAGCGCGTTGCCAGCTGATGTAACTCAATTACGCTGCACACGAGGCGACCGCAATAAAGAGGTGATAGATTTTTATGAAAGATTTGAACAGTATTAACAGCCAATTGATTGGCTAATTCCCAGAAGTAGATACAAGCCACTTGCGAAGGATAAAACAAGCAAGCGAACCAATTTCGCTGGCTTTGTGTTTGTGTCTCCCACCACTGTCCCGAATGTCATCAATGATGACTTGCTAACGCTATATATAGTTCGTACGTTTGCGGTAGCACCTGCGATGAAAGGCACGTTAACGAAGCCTTGGTCATCGACACTAAAATGTACTGCCCCATCACGTCATTCCTCACTATCGTAGAGTGGTTTTGGGCCGTAAGCTCTTATTTGAAGCATATGAAGGTACTAAGCACATTCAAAAGCTGGCGGGTAGCGACAGGTTATGCTTAGTTACCTAGCAGTACTCGGAATGATAAAATGAAACGATGAATGCCTCTAAGCAGGGCAAACGCTGGAGTTATTCACCAGAAGTCAAAATAGCGTTATTATACTTACATAACGTAGCATTCAGCACTGCGCCACTTTCACAGACAACAAGACGGAACGTGTTACACCACTCTTTCAGCAAAAAATTCACCTCCTTTGAGCAGTGGTACTCACAACCTTTACCGCTTATTGATTTCGAATGCTTAAGCAATTCGTATCACTAGGTGACTTCTATGGAGCTTTTATTGCAGAGAGGAGGATTTCCTCCTTTCTGGGCTGTTGAACGAGAGTACAAAAGCTGACGTCAAAGCCTAGCAGAGCAATCTTTGGGGAGACGCGTGCACTAACAACCACCTAAAGAGAACTATGGCGGCAACCAGGGAGCCTTGAGTGAAAAGGTGTTTAACACGAAAGTAGAACTGTTTCACTAAAAAGAGGCAGGCAGTAGCAATGTACCACTAGTTGTTTGTATGTGGGGTGTTGGCGGTAAATGGTTCACCTAAGGAGTGCAACCGAGCCACGGTGAGCCTCTATTGCTCTTTCGCACTCGTTGTGTTTTTTGCTTTTGTTCATTGTTTCTCTTGTTTTCCTTTTTCTTTTTCACACCTCCTTTTCGCATAGCTATTTCTTTTTCTTCCTTTGTATTTTTTTCTATTTCTTCCTCTCTCTCTCTCTCTCTGCCTCTTTGTATTTCTCGCTTTCTTCCCCTTCCGTCTTAGTGGTTGTGTTGTTCTCTTTTCCGTGCATTTCTTTCTCTTGCGTCTTTCTCGGTCATTTTATCATTTTGCATCTGTTTCTTCCTTTCTTTCTATCTCCCCTCCCCTCCCTCTATTTTCTCTTTGTTTTTAATCTGTGTTTTTCTTTTTCTCTTTTTCACATGCTTCAAAGACTTGTCTTTCGCTAAACACACATTTCATTTAATGCTCGTAACTGCTGTAGTCTTTAGAGAGGTTTACCCAATTCCATCAGCGTGTAGCATTGCTAATGTTGGTGTAGTAAGAACTGAGACCAGGGCAGAAATACGAATCAATTATGGTTTATTGTACCTTGCCAACCACTTCCACATCCTGCACGATGCCTGGGTGTGCACTCATTATAAAGTCTATTTCGTCCTTATTTTCGCCATTAGGGCTCCTCCATGTCCACTTGCGGTTTTCTCGATTTCGCTAGAAGGTATTCAAAATCCGTACCTTGCCAATCAAATTGGCAAGGTACGATACAGTGACCATAGAATGGTACGGTCTCGAATTCGGTCTAGACTTGAAGAAGGAACGAAAGAAACTGATACGCCAGAAGCCAATCCTTGAGCTAGCACTGAGAGCGAAAGTACAGGAATTCAGAGTGTCGCTGCAGAACAGGTACTCGGCTCTTAGTGAGGAAACTAACCTTAGCGAGGATACAATGAATGATAATCTGACGAGTATTATTACGGAGTGTGCAGTGGAAGTTGGAGGCAGGGTAGTTAGACAGAACACTGGCAAGCTTTCCCAGGAAACGAAGAACCTAATTAAGAAGCGTCAAATCATGAAAGTGTGAAGTACAACAGACAAAATAGAACTGGCAGAGTTTTCGAAGTTGATTATTAGACGTAACGTATGCGATGTAAGAAGGTATAACATGGAGAGAATTGAACAGGCTCTGAAAAACGGAGGAAGCGTGAAAGCAGTGAAGAGGAAACTTGGGATAGGCAAAATTCGGATGTATGCACTAAGGGACAAAGAAGGCAAAATAACTACCAATATGGATAGGATAGTTAAAATAGCGGAGGAGTTTTACAGAGATCTGTACAGTAGCCGAAACAACCACGACCTTAATACTATAGGAACTAGCAGTAACCCAGATGACACCCCATCAGTAACGGTTGAAGAAGTCAGAAAAGCTTTGGAGAGCATGCAAAGAGGCAAAGCTGCAGGTGAAGATCAGGTAAAATCAGATCTGCTGAAAGATGGAGGACAGATTGTGTTAGAAAAACTAGCCACCCTGTTTACGAGGTGTCTCCTGACGGGAAGAGTACCAGAGTCTTGGAAGAACGCTAACATCATCTTACTACATAAGAAAGGAGATGACGAGGACTTGAAGAATTAGAGGCGATCAGCTTGCTCTCTGTAGTATACAAGCTATTTACAAAGGTAATTACTAACAGAGTAAAGAAAACATTAGAATTCAATCAACCAAAGGAACAAGCAGGATTTCGAACAGGCTACTCAACAATTGACCACATTCATACTATCAATCAGGTAATAGAGAAATGCTCAGAGTATAACCAACCACTATACCTAGCCTTCACAGATTACGAGAAGGCGTTTGATTCCGCAGAAATATCAGCCGTCATGCAGACACTGCGGAATCAGGGCGTAGATGAAGTATATATAAACATCCTGGAAGAAATCTACAGGGGATCAACTGCTACCATAGTGCTTCATAAGGAAAGCAACAGAATACCAATAAAGAAGGGTGTAAGGCAGGGGGACACAATCTCCCCAATGCTGTTTACCGCGTGCTTACAGGAGGTTTTGAGAAGCCTAGAATGGGAACAGTTGGGGATAAGAGTTAATAGAGAATACCTTAGTAACCTGCGCCTCACCGATGACATTGCATTGCTGAGTAACTCAGGGGACGAATTGCAACTTATGATTATGGAGTTAGACAGGGAGAGCAGAAAGGTGGGTCTTAAAATTAATCTGCAGAAAACGAAAGTAATGTGCAACAACCTCGGAAAGGAGCAGCGCTTCGAGATAGGCAATAGTGCACTTGAAGTTGTAAAAAACTATGTCTACTTAGGGCAGGTAATAACCAGCAGAGCCGAACCACGAGATTGAAGTAACTAGAAGAATAAGAATGGGGTGGAGCACATTCGGCAAGCACTCTCAAATTATGACAGGTAGATTGCCACTATCCCTCAAGAGGAAGGTATATAACAGCTGTACCTTGCCGGTACTTAGCTACGAAGCAAAAACCTGGAGACTTTCAAAGAGGGTTCAGCTTAAATGGAGGACGACGCAGCGAGCAATGGAAAGAAAAATGATAGGTGTAACCTTAAGAGACAAGAAGAGAGCACAGTGGATTAGGGGACAAACGGGGGTTAAGGATATCATAGTTGAAATAAAGAAGAGGAAATGGACATGGGCCGGGCATGTAGCGCGTAGACAGGATAACCGCTGGTCATTAAGGGTAACTAACTGGACTCCCAGAGAAGGGAAGCGGGTTAGGTGGAGACAGAAGGTTAGGTGGGCAGATGAGATTAAGAAGTTTGCGGGTATAAATTGGCAGCAGCAAGCACAGGACCGGGTTAACTGGCGGAACATGGGAGAGGCCTTTGTCCTGCAGTGGACGTAGTCAGGCTGATGATGATGATGATGGTGATCATGATGATGATATTTATGTATGCTGATGATACAGCTCTAATATGCGGTCAAGATTTTTTTCACCATACCATAGCTTGTGCGAACTCGGAGCTTGTTCATATCCGTCCGTGGTTTTCGTCAAATAGACGAAAACCACGGACGGATATGGACCCTATCTTCTTGGGACCAGTGCCAGCCTGGGAGAAGATGGATTGTAGTTCGATGTAGCTGGTACCAAAAAAAAGATTGACGGACGCTAAACGAGTGTTTGGTGTAGACTGGTACTTTGTAGCGATATTGCACTACTTGTTGCAGGTGCGCCACAGTCAGCAGACATTTTCTCAGAGGGATCCCAATCATAATCACTCACGTTTGGTCTCCACTGTTGAAGAGTCTGAAAGAGATGCCGTGTGTTACGTATAAAAACCCTGACCATCTTCCGTTTCCTCACTACAAGATTTTGGATACGTTCATGCCAAAGCAATAACTCTCGGAGTCCAACCTCAGAAGTCATGTCCTTGAGGTTGCAACCACGAACTGCAGTTCACCAGCAGATAGCTACGCAGCCG